CAAGCTCGATTTCTGTTCTCATAAATGGAAGCCTGACGAAACAATTCCCAATTAGCAAAGGCATGCGACAAGGTGACCCATTGTTCCTTTTTTTATTTTTGATTGTGGTAGAGGGGTTGAGTGGATTGGTGTCATCTGCAGTGGAGAAAGAATTGTATAAGGGTGTCACGATTGGCTGTGGAGGGGTTATGGTCTCACATTTACAATTCATGGACGACACTATATTCTTCGGAGAGGCATCGGAGGACAACATCAAAGTGATTAAAGGCATTATGAGGACCTTTGAGATGGTCTCAGGATTGAAGATCAATTTTGGGAAGAGCCAGTTAATGGGGGTGGGGATTGAGGAAAGCTGGAGAGTTGAAATGGCATACAAATTATGCTATAAAGAAGGGGAACTCCCATTTAAATACTTGAGAATTCCTATTGGTGGAAATAATAGAAGGGTAGCAATGTGGCAGCCAATGGTTGAATCTTTTAAAAGAAAGCTAACTAGCTGGAAGGGAAGGCTTCTTTCTATGGGAGGTCACATCACGCTCATAAATTCAGTGCTATCTAGTTTGCCCGTGTTCCTAATGTCAGTCTATGTTATCCCAAAAGGTATACTTCTTTCCATAGAGAAAATTTGCAAAAGTTTTTTGTGGGCAGGGGGGAGAAGAGAGAAAAATAAATTGGGTAAGCTGGGAAAAGGTGTGTAAAAAAAAGAGGAAGGAGGGCTGGGAGTGAGAGAATTGAGGAAGTTTAACTTGGCTTTGATGGGAAAATGGTGGGGACGATTAGCAGAAAATAAAGAGGGTTTGTGGAAGAATATAATTACTGAAAAGTATGGTAAGGAAGGTGGACACTAGTAAGATTGGGTTAAAGAATACGAGGCAACAAGCTCAATATGGTGGAGAGATGTGTGTAGCCTTAATATAGTGGATAGGGAGAATGTAGGATGGTTGACGAAGGGTTTTAGGATTAACATAGGGGAGGGTAATAGTGTTAGCTTTTGGTGGGATGATTGGGGGGGAGAGGGGTGTCTTGCTAATAAATTCCCTAGGTTGTATCTTTTATCACTAGGAAAGGAGAGTATGTGTAATCAAATAGGTAAAAATAGAAATGGATCATGGGAGTGGAATCTAGTATGGAGAAGAAATCTGTTCGATTGGGAAACAGATGAGGCCACACAACTCCAAAAGATGTTAGAGGAAGTGAAGATTTCACAAGGAAGGTCGGATACATGGGAGTGGGTTCACAATAAGGATGGTCATTATTCAACAAAGACGCCTTACTCACTGTTGACACAAGAGTAGGGAGGATCAAGTGGAAATAATGCCTTCAAAAGAATATGGAATTCTATATCCCAAGCAAAGTCTCAGCATTTAATTGGCAACTAGTGTTAGATAGAATTCCAACAAGGATGAACCTGCAAAGAAGAGGGATTGTTAAAGACACAGAGGAAGGAAGGTGCGCTATTTGTGGGGAAGCTTAAGAGAATTCTAAGCATTTGTTTTTAAATTGCAGAAGTGCTCGTTGGCTATGGAATGCTTGTGCCAAATGGTGGGGGGCTAAGATTACACTCGGAAGAGATTGCTGGAACACCTTTCTAAATTTTGGAGCATGGTCCAAAGAGAAACGCACTAGAGAAGGATGGGACTGCATAGGGAACTCTGTTGTTTGGTCCATTTGGCTTGCTCGAAATCAAAAAATATTCCTGGATAAAGAGATAAATTTGGGGAAACTTTTCGAACTCATCCAACTGAGATCCTTCATATGGATTAAAGCAACAAATGATAGGTATGCCTTCAATATATCTGATTGGCTAATTAATCCCGGTGCTTGTTTGAAAGATATTGATGGAGGAAGGAAAGACACTATAAGAATTAACTGAATGTCAGGATTGATTTTTTGAATGGTTTTTGATGAATGTTTAATGGATAGTATTGTGTAATTGGGTTGAGTACCCTTTGTACTCATTTTATTCAAGTAAGTTCTATTTGCTGTTCAAAAAAAAAAAAAAAAAAGATGATCATAACGATAATGATGTATAATCATATCATGAGTCACAAATAATTAAAAATTGAATCCCCTCTCTTATTTCTCCCAATGAAGCATTCATTTATTATGGCATATAATCATCCTTTATCTTGTGATTATACGTTGATGATTAATTTTTTATATTTTTAACTAATTAAATTAACAAAAAAGTGAAGTGTAGTTTGTCTTTATTTAATTATTGATGGAGGAAACATTCTTCTAATATTAAGGGTTTGCTGCTCTATCAATAATTAAAAATAATACAATCCATGCAAAACAGACTACATTATAGCCTTCTCTTAAAACTTTTTTTAAATAGGTACAATTTGAGAGTAGGGGAATGAAAATTTTTGCAACAATATCGTAACTCTAATCTTAATCATTACTAAAATAGTAAGTGCACCTAGCAACTATTTTATGAGATCTAGTGCTTGTATTCTCTTAAATTAATTTGAATTTAAACACTAAGCAGTTTTTTCTGCCCGAAAAGAGCACCAGGTTGCTTTTATTAACCCTTTTTAATAAAAGGGGGGTAAAGAGTAATCCAGCGACTCCTATTTTACTACCCTTGTCATCTTCATCAAAGTCATATTTCATATTGCTTTTTTGCGCAATTTGTGATCTTCATTAAAGCCATTCCCATTTAGTTAGTGTCTAAATTATTGACAAATTGTAGTCGACTAGGATTTGTGCTGAGGTTGGCAGTTCACGTTTGCTAGTGCCTGCAATTGCAAGATGTCGATCGTGTTACATGTGGGTAATGCTACAATCTTACATCATATATATATATATATATAAATTTAG